TCCTGAATTTGAAGAAAAATTTTCTATGTACATGCAACATTATTTGCATATAAACCTGACCTTATAGATTTGAAAAAGGTCTTGAAAGATACTTAACTTGATAGAATAACACTATGTGTTATGTGGTGCTGCTATCTGGAGGTACACTATGAACTATTTTCAGCAAAAGGAACAATGCAATACTGACTCAAGCATACTGCTAATATACAAGGATATAATATCAGACACTAGCCCCTCATATATATAAGGATGAACGAAATACCACACCAGCTCTCATTTTACTACATGCAATTCATTGTACATCACCTAAATTCTACTAACAGCATTAGCCCTTAAGTACTATAACTTACCTTTCCACTGGCTTAATATGGAAAATGGATCATATTTTGGAGCAATTTCAAGTAACATAGCCACTGTTGCCATAGCAAAATTAGCAACGTTAAATTTAGAAACCGATCAAATTTTGAAAAAAGTGCCCATCCTCTTAGCAGGGGTACCCTATCCCAACATTCAGGCAACATTTTTTCTTAAGCTGAACATGTCCTGAAAAGAACATTCAGCACACATTCAACTGTCACATGCACTGTGCAATTTTTAAAACTTAAAAAATTATTTGTGATAAATTTATATTATATACATTACTGAAAGTAAACAAGCTGTACAACATTCACCCAAGGTCACCAGAAGTCATCAATTTCAGTACAAAAATAAATCAGCTTTAAATTCATTGATGAATAACTAAATGACCTTGTGTGCTGTCATAAAGAGATATTCCCACTTTAACGAATTCAACACGAAAATGATTTCCATTTTATTCTTTAAAGAATTTATCATTGTACACAAGCAGATCAACCTCCTCCTACCTGTAGAGTTGACAGCCCTGAACCAACACATACAGTTCAGCAATATATACACACACACAAAAATGTATGTTTTCTGTGTGTTTTCTACTGGTCACCAAATAGAGAACACCCAAGACATTACAAGATTTACTGTGTACTCTTGCCAACATGTATAGTAGCCATGCCTGTTAAAGCAATGTGTAAGTTTACTGTAGAGTTTATGGATGTAACGTGAATCCTTAGTCCCAATCTGTTCTTTTAATTACAATGTACTCCTGAAGTCCTTAATTTGAGCATTACAAGGTGTGGCAATAAAGAACCCGGATTACTTTTATGACTCATTTCCGGCCACGTCATTGACGAAGAGGAGGGTAGGGCATTGACCCTTGGACTTCCCTCTACCGTCACACAAAGTTTCATTCACGTGCATCGGTTAGTCTGGCCGCGACCATTGTTAGAAGCGGATCGTGTTTCTGAGCTCCGTCGGAATAATGCTGAGTGCTAATGCAGAACAACGTGCTAACATCAAATTCCTCACAAAACTTGGAAAATCTGCCACTGAAACTTACAATTTGTTGACAGAAGTATATGGTGATCAGTGTCTATCTCGCACGCAAGTTTTCGAGTGGTTTAAGAAGTTTATGGAGGGTAGGAAAAACGTCGGGAACGATCCAAAATCGGGCCGTCCTCCCACTGCGAAAACTCCAGAGAATGTGGAGAAGGTCGCTAGAATTGTTCGAAGAGATCGTCGACTGAGCATTCGAGCAATTTCTGAACTTACGAACATCAATAAGGAAAGTGTTAGACAGATTTTGCACGACGATCTGGGCATGAAAAAGGTGTGTGCTAAAGTGGTGCCAAAAATCCTTACCCCCCAGCAAAAGGAACATCGAGTGAATTGCTGTGTTGACACTCTTGAAAACATTGAAAATGATCCTGATTTCTTCCAAAACGTAATTACGTGTGACGAAACTTGGATTCTTCAATATGATCCAGAGACTAAGCGACAATCCATGCATTGGAAGAGCCCCAAATCCCCTAGGAAGAAGAAAGCGCGCATGAGCAAGTCCAAATTCAAAGCAATGATGATTGTTTTTTTCGATATCCGGGGGGTAATCTACATTGATTGGGTGCCTGAAGGTCAGACTGTCAATCAGGTTTATTATAAAAATGTTTTGACGTACCTCCGTGAACGTGTGCGACGAAGGAGACCAGACATGTGGAAGAATGCCTCATGGGTTCTTCATCACGACAACGCGCCAGCACACAACGCGCTATCTGTGAAGAGGTATTTGGCAAAAAACAACATTCCAGTGATGGAACATCCACCGTATTCTCCGGACCTAGCACCGTGCGACTTTTTTCTCTTCCCAAAAATCAAGTCTGCGCTGAAAGGGACCAGGTTCGAGTCCGTGGATGCAGTGAAAGCAAAAGCGACGCAACTCTTGAAGAGCATAACACAAGATGACCTGCAGCACTGCTTCCAACAGTGGAAAATTCGCATGGAGCGGTGTAGGGATCGGGGAGGGGACTACATTGAAGGGGATAACATTTCGACTGTCTGATTTTTTTTTAATAAAGGGTTAGAGCATGAATCCGGTTTCTTTATTGCCACACCTTGTATTACTCCTTTAAAACTCAACATCGTGCACTCAACGTAGCACGTTTGACACATTTCGGTGTCGCAATATGTATACACCTGAATAAAACACATTTTGTACTTTCTATACTAAATGTCTAACATCAATATGGGTAGCACGACTTCTGTAGTTTCCTGTAAAAAAAAAAAAAAAGGTAAAGATATCCTTATAACAGGCTGTGGAGGTCCACAGAGTTGTGAGACGTTGACGTTCCCACAGTTTCTAGTCAATCAGCTCACAGATGGCGGTGAAGTTTTCAGCCTTACGCACGAGCCGTCCCTTTACCCCCAGGAAGATTCCTAATACTCATTTCTGTTAGAGGCTGAGTTGACGCCAGGGTCATAGTGCAGCTGGAAGTATTAGGACAATTGAAAAAATCCAATGACCTCATCGGGAGTCAAACCCATGACCTTCTGGCTTGTAGCATAGTGCCTCAACCAACTACGCTACATATATTCTGTTTATTTTATCTGACAGTGCCAGTAGCTCAGGCTACAAGGGTTGAATGGTAGGGTGACTGGTGAATAATGAACTGGAAAGGATGTGTAAGGAAGCAGTCATGACCTGTTTCAAGGTAATATCCTGACATTCACGTCGACGGACTGATGAAAACCACAAGAAACCTGTCAGAGTTCTATCTCATCCAAGATTCAAACCGAGCACCTCCCAAATAAAAATCAGGAGCATTACTGCCTGAAGAAGATTTCTCAGTACCTGTCTATTATTTTATCATTTATTTTCTCTTATTTCAAATCAGTCACCAACGAGAGATCTGCATAACCATTACATTTATACACCCAAGTGTTTAATTCCACTAAAACTTTCTGGTGTGCATGCCCCAATGAGAATTGCATTTTTGAGTACCTTCTGCGACTGTGCATCATAGGAATATCTCTTTATCACAATACTAATGGTTTGTTATTTCAAATTGTCCTCCTTGGTCACTAAAATATAGTCAATTTGTAAGGTTATGATTCAATTTGGATTTTATGGATATCATATATTTTATAAAAATAAAACAAATTATGGCCAATTTGAAACAACATCAGCAAGCACAATGCCCTCTCTGAAGCATTCATGTCAACAGAAATGGGTCCATTTCTTCACAGACTGCAATGCAATTTAGCTTCTTTTTTTTTTACTGTACATTCAGCAGCTATTAAAACAAATTATCATACTCCGCATATTTTCTGAACTATATTCAGTTAATTAATGTCTGCAAATTCATTACTCAGTAAGATCTTACACCCTCTTGGTACTATGTTTTAAGAGTGCGGGCTTCTGAAATGTAATTCCACAGATTTTGTAGATATGAACCAATATTCTTGAAGAAACTACTGCCTCCATCTTCAGGATAGAAGGTCTTCTAACACAGAGATGGAAGCAGCAGGTTCCTCTGAAACACTGGTACACAGTGTTACAACCAAGAAAACCACAACCTTATTTCCTGGCGCAAGATATGAGGTTCTCAAAGCATTGGATATGAAGAGCTCCATCTTCTGGCATACAACACCACGTAGGCCATTGAGAGTCAACTGACATTTCAGAGGAACATCTTGCCCTCATCTTCAGATCTCTGCTTACCAATTGCTTCATGCTGGGTTTTTTTTTGCTTCATTTTTATTCAACCCTGAAGTTGAAAGCAACATGTCCCTCTGAAACATCAGTTGACTTTCATTGAACTACAAGGTGTTATATCCCAGAAGACATACATTTCTTGGCGTTTAAATCATTATTTTTACACTGCCTTCTTGTTAATAATCACCAGACTAGTATGAGATGCAGGAGACAAAATTAGAGATAACTATCACATGAATGTTATGCCATACACAATGAATCTTGATACCACGTGATGAAGCCTGTTATCCCAAACAAGGTTCTGACAAATGTGTCATGCCCATATAACTGTATCCATTATGTGTGAAGGAAATGATGCTACCAACCTTTAGGTCACACTGAAACTAAATTTCTCTTTCAATATTTCTTTGTTTATCAAATTGACAGTGCAAACAAGGCTGTAATACACAGAATTTCTAATGCGATTCTTTGTAATTGGACCTGAGGTTCTTGCTGGGCTGCCTACGAAGTGAATACCATGTAGTCCCATAGAAGTTCACTGACACTTTGGAAGGACATATTGCTTCCATCTTCAGGGTTGAAGTGTAAGCCAAGCATGGAGAATGAACCACCCAGCTTGATGCTTCATTCTTTGCTGGTTGCTTGACTTACTCTTTAACCCTGAAGATGGAAGTAGCATACTCCTTTGAAATGTCAATGCTACCAGACTACACTGCATAACATCACAGAATATAGTAACATTCTTTCTAATTTAATATGCTTACTTGCAACATGTTTATTTATGGCGTTAAGTAAAGCATACTTTATTTGGGCCACATTGCATTGTATATAAATGAAACTACTTGACTGGTGAAATTTTCAATTTCCAGTTCAGAAAATATACAGTTACAATTTTGGGCACTGTGCTTCTGAAGGTAGGATATCTGAACTGTGGACTCACCAGTGATGACCAAACGACCCTTGGTGGCACTCAGTCTTGTCTCTCCAGTGAGGCGATGTTTTGTTCGACATTGGTAAGACTTATAACCGTCTTCGGGACCAACATCACGAATATGAAGCTCTCCAGATGGTAACACCAAGTACTTTCCATCTGCAAACACATTCCACCATTGTACCTTCCACAATATACACATTACAAGCAACACTGGTACATATTTCAAGAACACTCTGGTCCCATCATGAACTGTTCAAATGGTCTCACTTTTCACTACATCAGAACTTCTTAATGCTTTTCCCATACAGGCAGAGATCCTCAAGAGTGACTACCAACTACTTTTATTGTAATAACTAATAAACTGACTCCATACAACTGAGTCCTTCAAAAGCTAACAGTTGCTCAGCTAGTCAAGAAATTCCCAGAATTTCTTTACTGTGTCCAAAGAAGCCTGTCATTGTTCCTTATGTATCCATACCACAACCTCCACCCTGTTTCTTAAACAGCCGTTTTAATGTCAACTTCCCATCTGTGTCTAGGCCTTCCAAATTATCTCTTTCCTCAAGGTTTTCTGGTCAGAGCTTTGTATACATTTCTTTAATTCCCATGCATGCTACATACCCTGCCAAGGTCATTGTCATCTTATTAATATTTGGCAATCATTACACATTACAAAGCTCCACATTATGTACTTTTCCCTAGCTGCTGTTACTTGCTCCCTTTTAGGCATTTTTATAATGATACAAAACAGAATGTTAAAACAACCCACAGGCACAATGAGAAGTGTGGAAGGTGACATATGGCTTACAGAGATGTTGATGCTTATAACAGCAGAGCAGAATAAAATACAAAGAAACTGTCATTGCTGTAACCTCTCAATATATGAGACAGAAATGTTCTCATTACATAATTTAAACCTACAGAATATGTAGCAACAATATTTAAATTACCCAAATGAAGCAATCTCTATTCATCAGACTCATACCTAACAAAGACTGCAACACTGGTAGCTAACACAATTTTCTTGCCAGACTGTTCTATGAATTCTGGTAGTGTTGCTTGTATTGTTCATTTATTTTTAATGACATTTAATGGCTCCATTTTCTCCTTTCAAACTTCCTGTATAGTAAAGACTTGAAGATTTTACAGTGAATAAAATTGATAAGAATGTTCTCAGGTGACCAGCCACATCTGTTCTAAACAGAAGTCCAGTGTTTCAGAAACATTCTCTGTCTACATCATCAGGAAATGACATCACTTCCTGATGATGGAGGCAGACATATTTGCAAAATGGAGTTCATTTTGAGTTCCAATAGCTGAGCACCTGAGGAGATGTCATCATCTCATACATGATATGATTTTAAAGAAAATATTAGCCTGATAAAAATATCCAATATATAAGAGGATGCAAAGGATTCTGACAGAGACAGATGAGTAAGAAAGGAGAAGGGATCCATCTAAATACAGCAGTTAATTATTCATCCAAATGTTTAGCAAGAAAAACAGTGAACTATTATATTTGTAAGAAAATATATGAATAAAATGTAATAGTTTCAAATCATTTCATGCATTTTACACTGCCATAGTGGTATTTTTAATTGCTACATTTCAATTTAGTGATTATACATATTAAATTCAATTTCAATTACAGTACAGCATGCATAAACCAAAGTAAATATACATGTAAAGGAAATACAAGGTCCATTACACTAAGAGTTCATAAAGCCTGTGGAAGCAACTGAAATGCATGATAATTGTTTTATTTTCAAATTATAAATAAATCTCATTCAAGTTATGTACAAAGAATTACACACTTCTTTAGAGAAAACTTCCAAAGCCTTCTTTAACTCAGCCACACATCCAGAAAAGGCATTCTGTGGTAATATTTGTTATGTGTCTCCTTGAATCTAACTGCAAGCATAATTTTCGAATACTTAATTGTCTTAACATGTTAAGGATTGAATTACAACATTACATTATTCTTCACAAACTTTAATCTGTAATTCTGAAAGGTTTCTACTTCATTAAAAATGTAGATCACAGTGAATCCGGCCACATGTGTTAACATAGGGCCATTACATACACATGATCTGGTGGTATACATGAAATAAAATGTTTTGTTTGCAAACAAGGCATATAGATTTTGTATACATCTAAAGTTCACCTTCAAACAGACTGAAAATTATTACTTTCACTCAGTATGTGAGAGCAGAACTTTTCAAGGAGAGTGTATAAACTGGTGACCAAGCAAAAAGGATTAGGAGAGTCATAACTAACAAACAAATGATGGAATTATATAAAATCCATGATCTGGTAGTGGATATTAAAAGAGGAAATTTGGAGTGGTCAGAGCATGTGATTACAATGGATAAAAAAAGGGTGGTTAAAAAAAATTAAAGTTAGATGGTAAAGATGGCCCAGACCAAGATGGATAAAGATGTAAAGAATGTTCATGAAAAAAAAGTGGGGAGATGGAAAAAAACAGGTATCTGTCATAAAGGTTAGAGTTCTTAGACGGTCACAGAGTCAAGGTGTATGTAAGTAAAGTAGACGTAAGATACATCTGGGGGTTCTCACACCAGTGACTATGAAGGGTAGAGTCTTTTGGGGCATGACACCATGTAACCAGAAAACATTTAGTACTACACAAAAAATAATAAAAAATCTGAATCAATTTATTAATTAAAAATTATCAGAATCATACAGCAGGTTCTTCTTATATAATGCCTAGTTATAACAAGGCTTTGATCAGTTCCTTTTACAAGATTACATATGCTTTATGTCATACAATTTTGCATGAATTTGTTTTATTTACATTGGTGGAACTCTGAATTGTGCAACAACTTTCTTTATGTAATTTAGTCACTGAATAAATACTATATATATAATCACAGGAATTCCAAAATCAGATGAAAGTCAATTTCGCTTATAACATGGGAGCCCAAGCTGCCCCATGAGAGCTGCTTTATACTGAAGATCCACTGTATAGGATATTATTATAATAATAATTAAAATGATTATTAATGCACAATAATTATGGGAAATTATCCATTCTATAACAGAGGTCTACCAACTTCTGTAGAAACAAACTCCTTCCATCTTCAGAATCAAAGATTAATCACTCAGCATGCTGCTTATTTGTTTGTTTGCTTGGTTTATTCCTGAAGATAGAAGCAGCATGTTCCTTTAAAACATTCACAAACTTCTATCAGACTACATGGCATCAGATCTCATGAGACAGTACTCTTCAATTATCTTCTCTGCATGGGAGAAACTTAAGTAAACCAAACTCAGAACTGTGTAATTCTGTTGCAGGGTACAATGCATATAACATTCCACAGAAAACATCTTTTGGGCACACTATAAACTATGCTGCTGGAGGGAATGTGGAGAAATCATGACAGAGGAAAAATGTCTTCAGAATGGAATGAGGTGACCAAAACCTGTAAACAAAACAAAACCATGTACCATAATTGCTACCATCCTGGAAGATCTCTCTGTGGTCACTCTCCAACCACGATGACACCAACACGTAATCAGCTACAAAACTTGGAATGTGACATTTAATAATGGCCGTGTTTCCCCGTAACACATGCTCATCCATTACATTCACCTCGTAACGTTGTGTGACCACTGTAAGAGATTAATAATCAGTCAGTAAAGAGAAAATGTTTACCATAATCGGCAGGAGGAAGATAGCGATTCCCCTGGGTGTCTTCCCAACCGACTATCTCCACATGGTCTGATACAAATGATGGTATGTTGCACTTGAAGACAGCAGCATTACCCTTTATCACAAACACATCATACACCTGTGCTTCATAATACTGGTTCACAACTGCAACAAGAAGCCAATGTCACTGCACGTCAGTCGTAACAGGAAACGAAGCACAGCTGTCTGTATCCAGCAACCTGGAGGAGGAATCCATTTCCGAAATTCTGCAAATGAAAAACACTTTTAGAATCAGTAGGGTAAGGAAAAGAAAACTGGTAACATTTTGTATTACCATAATCGGTGTTGGATGCAGAAGAAGCAGACAATGAGCTACCATCTGTGACCCATTCAATAACTTGCACAAAATCTGCCACGAAGCTCGGAATCAAACACTTGACAACTGCTGTGTTGCCACGGAGAACAAACTCATCACTGACTCGGCTCTGGTAGAACTGCTGCACCACTGTAGAATCACAAGTGTAAGTTATTGTTCTTTTGTACAAGAACTGGCAAAGTAACTTGGGAGGGGGGGGAGCTGCGGAGAGAACCCAAGTAACATCCACATTCATTACCGTAGTCAGAGCCGGGAAGATACGTGTTGCCTGCACTGTCCAGCCACATCTCCACTACTACAAAGTCGGCCACGAAGCTCGGTACCTCACATTTCATCACGGCGCTGTTTCCACGGATCACATACTCATTGTCGGCTTCCGCTTCATATGACTGCGACACAACTGAAAGGAATTGCAGTATCTCCAATATCAGTTACAGCATTGACCATTACCGTAATTATCAGACGTTGTGGAGTAAGTAAGGGTTTGTCCGTCATCTGCAACCCACGACTCAACCGAGACGAAATCTGCCACAAAACTTGGAATCTTGCATTTCATCACTGCACTGTTGCCACGGATAACATATTCATTCTCGGCTTCCGTAACATAGAACTGAGCTACCACTGGAAACACAATGTCAAAAACATAAAGAGAATAAAATAAGGCAGGAACACAACTTTGTGATAGTGGTGCTTGAGCATACCATAGTTCTCAGAAGATGGCACATGCGTCTCACCGTCCTCGGCTATCCATGCTTCAACTTGAACAAAGTCAGCCACAAATGAGGGGATGCTGCATTTTAGCACAGCAGTGTTGCCACGAATTACGTATTCTGTCAGAATCTCTGCTTCATAAAACTGATTGACAACTGTGAAACAAACAGTCTCTATACACACTGAAAGACTCGTACATAACAAGAATATTGAAACATCAGTCACATATCTTTCCTGCAAAGAAAAAGGAGAATTCATGAAAGACCTGCAAAGACATCAGCGTGGGATTCAGGGTTGTTACTTTACCATAATCAGCTGATGGTAGGTAAACAGTTCCCTCGCTGCCAACCCATGATTCCACTTTCACAAAGTCAGCCACAAATGATGGAATGTTACACTTGAGGACAGCTGTATTCCCTCGAATCACATATTCCGAGACCACTTCTGCTTCATAGTACTGGTTAACAACTGAAGAAGTGTGAGAGCACCAATTACCAACACGAGAGAGAATCAATGCTGCATCAGGACGTACCAGAATAATTGGCTCAGGTGAAAGTTTCAGAGTCAGTAAAAAAAAAACTTCCATTTGGAGGAAGCTTTCAGTGAATGTTCATCACTACGAGCTATTCTAACCAGGTCATATTTCAGAACACAGTATGGCCAACTTAGTGAGATAAATGATCAAGAATTCTGTGCTCACAAAATGATACAATATTCCACTATAAATTTACATTATATGTCTTCATGAAACTCTTAAATTGCCTTTTCTCATTGTTAATTCTACTTTAAGTGATAAGCAATAATCACCATCCACGGTTTATGTAACCTTAAATCGCCGTAACTGTTTACATCTGCATGGGAAAGGTCAATCCACTGCAAAACATTACTGCATGCAGGGCAACGTTTGTTCCCAACCCTTTTAGGGTCCACTGTGTCCCACTTCTCCTTCCTTTAATTACCTACATCAATACTCTTGTTCTCCCAGACAGTTAACTCTTCCGCCTTGAAGACTGACAATGCAGGTTCCTCCGAAACGTTTGTAGCATCCTACGAGACTAAACAGTATCACATCCCATAAAACAGTAACCTCCATATCCACTGCCACAAGACCCTCACATCCCACATGGTGGAAGGGAATTTCTATTGCAACATACACATGTGTACATCAGCTGATGAAACTTTCACCTTACCAATTTGCTCTGACCTACGTCCACATGTGACACATGACGGCTGAAACATTCTGCTGAAACTGAAAGAAAGAAATATCAGGGGATCACATTACCCTGATTAGAGGAGGCATCAGTCCCCGCATACATGTTGCCTCTATCATCTTGCCACGACATGACGCTCACAAAATCAGCGACAAAAGACGGAATACTGCACTTGAGGACTGCGGAGTTTCCACGTATCACATACTCATTGTTCACCTCAGTCTGGTAAAACTGCAGTACAACTGTAATACAGACACATGTTACATCGGGCAGGGGGGGGGGAGGGGGGGTTCGTGCCTTATTTACGAATTACCGTAGTCAGACGCTGAAGGATAGAAATTGTCTCCTTGGTCGGTGTGCCACGAAACAACATTAACAAAGTCTGCTACAAATGACGGCACCTGGCACTTCAGAACAGCTGAATTACCACGGATACTGTACTCCTTGTTCACGTCCGTGTCATAGAACTGCTGCACCACTGCAACCAATCACAAGAGTACTGAGACACCAACAAACACAGGGTGCTGGAAGTGAACACAGATGGCACTGCTGTAGAGGCTTAACCACTTCTTGTATTGGAAGGGCTCAAAAGAAATGAACTAGAAGGCTAAGCAGGAGAAATTTGTCCTTCCAGCCAATCAGAGAAAAGGGGAGTTGCCATGAGAGACATACGTAGCCCCTTGATACAACAGACCTACCCGTATTCAGGGTTGAAGAAGGAAAACACCAGCGATATCAGTTCTTCATGTGAGGAGGCAACAGTGACGGGAATGGTTCTCATGCCAGAGGCTGCCTGACAAAGTTGGACTGTGATCAAGATGTGTTCACCGGTTTTATACAAAGTAAAGTAACAACCGTGAGCATCATCAGAATCAGCTCACAGATTTCGTCTAAAGTGCCTAGTAAATGAGCAATGTCTGTGATGTGATATTATCAGAAGTTGTGACTTTACAGAAGGCTTATATTTCTGTCATCTGTACCTAATTCTCCGATAACACTGTCAGTTGCAGATGCTCTTAGCTTATTTCAGAGGACTTGCGTAGATGGAGTCACTCATACAATTCCTTAAGCCACTTCAGGAACTCATTACTTGAGAATATGTGACAAAAGGATTATAAAATCCCTGCCAAGGAGTCAATCAAATTCTGGAACATGATAAAAGATATCTAATGTCACACGGATATCGGATTCCACTGTCCTGATTAGAGGTGCATGAAGCTCATCCAAAATAATGGGTAATTTTTGTTTTGACAGAATTGAATGAAAGAGTAAAACCTTTCTGGACACCTGGGATCTGAAGATTCACATCAATGCACTCTGTCTTCAGTCTTAAACGATGAGTTTCTTCGAAGTTTTAACATCTCTGTACCTTACTGCAAGACTGCTGAAGACTCAATGCAGATTTCGAGCAGGTTATTCATTGGGCCTCGGCAACCAATACATCTGCTGACAGGCAGTAATTTATTACTCTTCTTTCTAATGATGTCCACGATTCATATAAAAATATATTACAAAGATGGCAGCAGCAATCACTCAACATCGTGACTATCCTATGGCCTGGATGACAAGTACAATCAGTGTTTCATTCCTGGTAAGGGGCAACACCACCATTGCTTCTGGACTGACTCTGGAACCTATCCACCCTCCTGTCTAATGCGTACCAGGGATTCTTTCCCCAAGAGTAAAATGTCTGGATCCTGAAGATGACCACTCACCTCCATCAAGCAATTTATGACTCTCAGAAGACTGAAGCATTGTGCTAGGAAGATGATGAAATATCAAACACAGAAGCTCAAGAAAATGACTCACACATCCTTATTCCATGGTGACAGTTAACTAGCTGGAAAGTCAACTCAAAACAGGTAACATTTATACAAAACAACAGGAAATTCAAACAGAGACACATACATTTTGTAATGCCCATAATATGGCTTAAAATATTCATGTGAAGAGTGATTCCCAATCTTTCTTTGTCATAACTCCAAATGTGGCCAGCCAATGAAGCTTTACCTAACTAGTTCTTGTCAGAATTAATAAAATAATAAATATTTCTGATCCCCCTCTGTGATTTTATTGCAGCCCTACATGGCCCTGATTTAAGTTACAACCTCAGATTGGGAACCTATAGTTAAACATGTCTATGGAGTGACAATCTCATAAGCATGTAATATGTAGATTCTTTTTACCAATATATGTGCTACTCGTAATTTACTTGTAAGATTTTACTGTATAGGAACTGAGATGAAACTGTCATTATTAATTACGTCTGATCTTATGTCCCTTGCAATTTATTTCTAAATTCTATGTTCTTATATCCTAGAACTAGAAGTGCCAGGGCACTCCAGCACACAGTTCAGGTTGAAAAATTGATATAAATTAAGATATGAAGTTATTCTGCTTGCGTAAATAGAGCTTTACACTTTTAAATCTTGAAGTGAGTGACAAACAGCTCAAAAAGCACATACAGAAGCTTAGAGAAGTTGATGCTTCAGAAATTTAATAAGCTATAAGATTTAAGGTCTTTCATTCTGGCTCCGTGGTGAGCCGAAACATGTAAGGCAGGTGGTGACGAGGTNGGAAATTTAATAAGCTATAAGAATTTTATGTTTCACATCAGTGTATTTAAAATAAATGCCAGAGTGGCATCGGGCAGTCTGGGCTGCAGCCCTGCAAACGCCTGAGGGACATAGTTCTCTCTGTGAAATACAACAGCACAGTTCATACGACGACTGACGCAAAATTACACTGATTCCTGGCAGGATATAATGATGACAATGGTGGTGGTAATACTGGTGATGATAGTAATTTGAAAATTACGTTTCTCCACAGTGTTTAAAATGATACTCTGTTCCTTGTTGTATATTTCTGTATCATGTTTTGTGGAACTGACAGAAATATGTACATTTTCAGTCATATGCTGTATATTCTGTCACCAGTTTCTACAGAATGGGCAAAATGTTTCAGCACATACATGTCATTTTCGGGCTTTCAGATACTTGAATACATGTGTAAACTTATTTGCTATGGGGGAATACAGACCTACAGAAATTAAGCAGTAAGCTGGTCCAGTTGAGTGAGCTGTAAACCAGAGTAAAAGTAAAAGGTAAATTTGTCCCTGTGCTTAACTAATTAAGCACTATGCCATGAAGACACATGGGCGAGTAGATGTATAGTTGGAGGTCAGTGGTCTGCCTCGCACCCCTGCCGCTTTACCCCCGGGGAAAGAGTCCTGGTGCCCATTGGCTAGGAGGCTGGGTGGGCCCCAGAGCCAATCCGGACCACATGGAGAAGGGAAAATTATTGTCCTTCCAGAGACTTAAACTCCAAACCATTAGTTGTCCAGCCCATAGCCAGTCACTATATTCACTGGGCTATCCCATACCATTGAAAATTACTGTCTTCTTGAATGTGACACCATGTAGTCTGGTACAAAAGTTACAGAAAAACCTTCTGCCTCCAGCTTCAGGGTGCTATACCTCATACCGCAAAGATGGGGGAAGCAAGTTCATCTGAAACATTTGTAACATTCTACCAAAGGTCACGCCACAGCTCAAGCAGTTAGTAGCTGGCTTCCCACCGCGATGGCCCGGGTTCGATCCCGGGTCTGGTCAAGTGGGATTTGTGGTGGACAAAGTTGCGCTGGGGCAGGTTTTCTCCGAGTACTCGGTTTCCTCTGCCAATCTTCATTCCACCAATTGTTCCACAATCACCCTCACCTATTGTCTGGGGCTGGTACAATAGGCCAGAAGTGGCCACAGTACAAGGGACTTAGTGCCGCCCCACTAGCAATAAAAAAAAAGCATTCTACCAGGCTGCGTGGCATCAAGGCTGCAATCAGTCTAGCTAGACACATGCCAAGGGAGATCCTCAAGAGAGGCAGTGTAACCTGCTTTAAACCTGTTACCTAAATCACCAGTCATTAGCACCTTCCCAATATACATCACTGCATATAACCTCTGTAACCGAAACAGTGTCATTAAGCAACTAAAGGAGTACTCATTTCATTAAGGGCAATTTCAACACAATGAAACAAATTTAGGCTTTCAAAATAAAGCATATGTTTGAGCCCTTATTATAGGGCTGTGCTTTCTTTGCCAGTACACGTGCCAGCAAGAACTGATGCATAGTAGCAAACTTGCCAAAAGTGACATATCTGCCAATGCATTTATATTTTGACCCTAAGACTAAAACCAAGCACAAGAGTACTGGCAAACATGATTTAAGAAAAGAAACGGATTGTTAAGTATACGTAAGCAAGATAGATACACAGCAATTCCCAGTCCATCCATAACAGAAACAGTCACTGATATATCTAACATATTCTTCTTCTTACTGACATCACAGCAGATCTGAATCTTGGTCAAAATTACTGTACAGGTTCCTACATACAATTTACAGTAGTGGCTGGCTTCCTTAGATCAGAGATCAGTTCAAACATTCACAATCTGAAAAGGTTTCAAAACTTCAGTCTGAGAACAGACTATGTGCAACCTAACTCACGCTGCCATGAGCAGTCACTGACCTACACACAGTGAGTTTCTTTGCCAGCCCTACTGTGAAATGAACTTACAGATTAGGGGCAGCACCAGCTTAACACAGTGGTGGCCCCTGGGAAAAGTATGTCCCCCCTCACATTTACCTTTTCTTTGTTCTTCTTCTTTTAAAGAAAAGACCTTGCAATTTAATAGGAGCTGAGGTAGCATAGTCAGTATAGCGATTGGCTACGGGCTAGATGACTGAGGGGTTAAAGTTCGAGTCCCAGTAGGGTAAAGAATTCTCTCTTCTCCAAATTCTTCAGACCGGCTCTGGGGTTCATCCAACCTTGTATCCAATGGGTACCAGAGATTCTTTCCACAGGGGTAAAGCGGCCAGGGCGTGAAACTCACCACTCACCTAGAGCTAGAGATGAGGTTAAGAAATTATGGATCTATACATCCACTCCTCCATATGCCTTCATGGCACAGTGCTTAATTCGTTGAGTACAGGGTCAATTTTACCTTTTACCTTACAATTGAGTAAGAGCATAAGAATCTATTTTTTACTAGCAAAAATTAAAATGACAGGAAAAGACTGAAAACATAATTTTTATTGGAGGTGAACACAGACTAAAATGTCTACAAATATTTTCCTGAGATACTCAGAAATAATTTGCTAAAGTTTAAGCAAATCACAGTGATACTTGAGCAGTAAGGGCTCCTAAGGTCAGGGGGGCGTGGGGCAGTCGACCATTTTACCCATTGGATAGAGTGGCCTTGATTACAGATTGGACCAACCTGATTAGGGGAGCAAATAATTCTCTTGTAAAACTGCACACTTGAGAAAAAGAAAAACCGTGCGTCGATGTGTCACTTCATTTTCAGGACTGTGTCGTCTAATGTTAAGAGACTGATTCGTCCAATCAGAAATTAAGTGTGACGTTGCTGTGAGAGATGAACAGAGAGACTAGCTATGCAGATAGCAAACGATGCATCTCAGGTCCTCAAATAAGAATGGTCTAACCCTCACCAGCTCTCACGTTGACATCTCTGGAGTGAATTGTTCCAACAGAATTCCTCGCTAGACATACATAAACTTGTGCATGAACTTCTTGGCGGTAGTCTTCTGCTCGGAAAGGGGGAAATACCAGATTTCCATTTGGTAAAACCTGAAACACAGTGAAAACAAAAAATAAATTATTTGTACATTAACAAAATTTCCATGCAGCTATAGGTACTGGGATACTATTGAAATTTTAGTACACTGATTAAGAATACAGACAATACTGGAAAGCTTTACACAGTGTCCACATGCGTTCTTTGTACCTTAGCTATGTCAATGAGCCTAGCTCTTCCAGGTAACTCTGATAAACACGTTAATAATATTAATTACAACTTAACATTAAATTTTGATACAGCTTCCTTTCAATAACTTAGATTCTTCATATTATTAATATATTACAATAATTCAGTAACACTAATCTTCAACATTCTATTCTGAAATTTGTAAATCATACCATAGAACAGTCTGATACACATGGCCTCCCATATACGTGTTCCTCTCATGCATGATGTGGAAATAAACCATAATAATAATAACCATATTTCTTCTCCCTTTTCAAGATGTACTTCTTATTGAAGTACTGACTTTTTAAAGCATAAAAAACTGTTTCACAGAAGTGAGGATCTAGTGATATCATGTAAATGCAATATCTCAACAACTTATATACTTTCTTTTTAACTTTGCTTGAAAGGATGTATTCCTGAATCTGTTGTCACCATGGTAAACAGAGCTACATACTTGTGTTTCATTTAATTTAATTTTGATTCAGAAGATGGCAGGAGAGTGCACACCTTGCCATGCTGTACACTACATGGAGCAGCAAAAGGAGCACCATTATATGAAGCCACTGTCACCATGGTAACCAAGTTCATATGATTAATTCAGTTTAAAAACTGAGGTTATGTAATGTCAAAAAAGACATGAATCGGTTTATATCAATGATTAAAGAGATGAATATGGGAGGTACGAGATGAACTGAAGCAGGAGGCTGTAAGACTCACACAGAAACCGCCAGAATTCTTTTCAAGAGGCCAGTCAGTTTTTTCTGAGGGGGAGCAGCCAGATATTTTGGTCCACTTAAGACTAATTTTACCAACTGCGCCAGGGTATTCAGAAAAATATATTCCTTAAATAATTTTTATTTTTGTTATTAATACTTGGTAATTTCCATCCCTTTTCAATTTTGATTTTTTTTTTCAAAAGTCTTGGAGAGGGAAGCAGATTCCATCCTCCTCCTGCCCTAGCACCCATGGTCACTTGTTATATTTTGTACGAAAGCAGAACAAAGTCTGCCTGTGACTGCTTCAAACATTTGCTAAAACTGTAATCATTAATTCAAGAACAATATGATGATTAAATGATTCTGGCTACTTGTTATAGACACATTACAGCATATATATTTGAATTCTTTGCCACCCTAATTCTGACCTAGACAATTCATTACATACCTGTCTGAGTCCTGGCACGTCTCCTACCGCAGTACCGTCAGATCGAACCCAGATGATCTCTGGCACAGGGTTGCCACGCGCTGAGCACTCTACTACTGCCCCAGTCGTGTTGGAGAAATCCACCCTGTTTGGAGGCTCCCGGATGTATACAGGACCGGCTGTGTCATCCTCAGCAATAGCTGAAACAGTAAGAAATCCTGTCTTAGCCTTAGTTCATCTGTAATCTACACAGAAACATCGGGCGCAGATTTCATATCCAACAATAAAACAACTCAACTGCAAGTTTCATTGCATCGCAGCCACGCGAAGGACTCCATGTGTTTACAATCCAATCATAACATCCAGCTATAAAGCAAGAAGTTCTGGGAAGAACTAATCACCTACTTTCCTATGATACAAAATGGACTTTACAGAAAATGCAAAAAATTATGGGGGACAGACAGAGACAGCAAGATGGTCTCAAAATACAGATTTCAAGAAGATCAGGTGATTAAGCATGTTCCAAGAAAATGATGACAGATGATGACAGAGGCTGTTGTTGGTAGACCGAAGTTGAGTAGGGTATCCATGGCAGCAAATCTACAAATTCATTTTGTGATGACAACTTTTGGAAGTGCCAAATAATGTTAGGACTGACACATCTGCTTTCTTTTGTTTAATCACACAGAAAGCTGTAAGACAAATGGAACAATCATAGTTGGAAAGTAAGGAGTAGGAAACAAAGAACAGGTGTTCGCAAATATTCCATTGTAAATAGGACAAAAAAATATGTAACAGTTGACCTGCAGGCACACTAGCGTCTTTCCTCTGTAAATTAAACACTTTTAGAAAGGGGGTCAGGGGAGCAGTTACAATTTGAATGGAGACAAGTGAAGTAATGTGAAGTGCTCTTATTCGAGTGTAGTGAATTGAACACAAGCACGTGCCCTTGTGTGACTTTATATGTTTGGATTTGCACTGTGTGTACCTTGTTTATTGTGTGTACTTTGTTTTGTACTGTTCCCTTTATGTTATAGTCTTTCCTTGTCTGTATCAGTGTAAGATCTACCGCCACGGGTGAACACCCAATTGCAGTATAGTAATAATAATAAACGAACTGCTCATACACGTGCACTTTAGGGTCTCTACACCGTTTGTTCAAAACCTTTTCCTCTCCAATAAATAATCGGTGAGGTACACTCAAGATTAGCACAGAAATGCATACAGATCTTCATGTAAAGTACGAGTAATTGTTACTGTTGACCGATTCTGACCAAAATATGAATATGTAAAATAAATTTCGCCGGTCACGGTAGCCGAGAAGTCTAAGGCATGTACTGTATTCGCTCGCTTGGAAATCGGGATCATGGGTTCGAATCCCACTCAGGGCATGGATGTTTAGTTTGTGTGTGCGCACTTTTCTGTGTCTGTGTAAAGATGAGCTGATCACCAGCCCAGAGTCCCACCGAATGTGTAATATCTAGAAAAACCGAAGTGAACAGAGAAGTTCATGGAGCTAGGCCTAGGCCCACAGGGGCTGTAGTGCCGAGGAAAAAAAATGAATAAATAAATTTCAGTAAAACTCCCCATTTTATAAAATTTCATTTAAAATCCATTCTGTGATTCTCAAGTTGTTATATACAGAGAGACAGACAGACAGACAGACATGGCAAGAGCTACTAGGTGTATTTTTTAGACTTCTCATTACAACATCACCAAAATTGTTCAGAACTGTACATTTCTCAATGTGCATGCCAAACTTTGTGTTTTATGCACCTCCAACTTAGAGGGCAGACAAATCGAGGTTGACAAAGGATGAACACGTAGCTCTGAGCAGAGAGATGAGAAATATGTACAGAAATCTCTTGAATGGTAGCCACTTAGGAGATTAAGCCTTCATAATTTCACAGTATAAGTCTGCCTAAACCTGGGTTAGAAAACTACTGTCCGTGGATGGGAACTGGCTCGCAAAATTTGTCTATGATATTATTTTCAATTTATATTAACATTTTGGACCACCTGTGTGGTCTAGTGGTCAGAGTTCCTGGCTACAGATTCAGAGGTCCGGGCTCGATTCCCGGCGCCACCAGATTTTCTGAGAAGTAGTGCGTCTGGAATGGGGTCCACTCGTTCTCGTGAGGATAACTGAGGAGCTATTTCAAGGAAACAGCGGCTACGGTTTAGAAAACCGAAATTAACGGCCGTGGGGATCCGTTGCGCTGACCATGCGACACCCTCTATCCGCTAAAGTTGGCACTAACTTCGCCGACAAGCGGCAGTCGCTCGGCCGGTATAGTTCACTTGCGGACTAAAGACACGGAGTAGTATTAACATTTTTTTACGGTTTCCCAATAAATACAGTAAAATATTTTTCCCCCCCACGGGAACATAAGAAGTGTATTTCCGATAATGTCTGAATCAGTAAACATTTATTCTGCTTATAAAAATTTTTTGAAAATATTGCTTCGACCCGTTACCGGCCCAGCAGAACATTTGCAATTCCTAATTCTGTCCTTTGGCTCTAAACTCTGCCCACCCCTGGTCTAGAACATCTCTGAGACTACTCATCATCAGATAATGACGTAGATCATTATGTCATCATCAGAAAGGTACTAAATTCTAATTTCAACATAGGGAACCAAAATCACCAAAATGGAGACCTCACTACATTCTAGGGCATTTCTTCTGTTAAGGTTGCCTACTCATGGTATGACGTACCCTTGAAGATGACGAGTTCTATCTGAGATATAACGCAGTGCAGTTTGTTGAACGTCAACAAAAGCTTCGGAGGAATAAGTCGTCTCCATCTTCATGGTAGAACAATAAGCCAAGCAAGAGGCTAGCATGAAACAAACAACACTACACAGTGTTATATCCCTGAAGATAAAACACTTCATAACCATCGGTGTGAGACCCTCAAACCCTACCTACCCTCAGAGATACAAGTACATAATGAAGGGTTTTACTGACTGCTGAAATGTTTTCTGGTAAACACTCTATGTGACAGCCACCCCTCTTTCTCCCGTAACAAATGACCTGAGGGCGCAAACAGCTCCTGCACAAGAACTACTTGAAAATGCGTCCTCCCTCAAGTAGAACAAGATTTTACTGAACAGTTCAACGCTGCTCACTTCGAGGGCCGTATAAACTCAAAATGAGAGTGACGTAGTGAGCATCAACTGTTGGGGCAGAAAGGATCGTTCGCACTTGTGTGGGGGTTATTTTGTGACGTTGTCAGTAGCATACGGCGTGACGGATGAAGGATTTCGAATGAAGCGGTCACAGACTCTTCAAAATACTATGGAGGATCTTGTACGAAACTACTGAACAGAAATAAAAAAAACTTACCATAATTTGTGTCCTGACGGACCTTCGGACCCAGAATCTCCCAAATACAAGTAAAAACGTTACCGCTATGCTCAGCACTCGTCACTCACCTACATCTAGCGCTGAGGTTAAGAATACTTGGAGTTATACCTCCATTCTCCCATATGAATTTAATGCGTGATGCTGATTATACACAGGGACAATTTTACCTTATCTTATTTTCCCTTTGGCACTGCAGCCTCAGTGGGCCTAGGCCTACCTCCACGAACTTCTCCGTTGACTTCGGTTTTTCTACATCTTACACATTCGGTAGGACTCCTTGGGCGGGTGATCAGCTCGTCGCAAGGCCTCTACATGTACACAAACACAGAAAAACGCACACACACAAACTAAACATCCATGCCCTGAGTGGGATTCGAACCCACGATCCCGTTTTCCAAGCGAGCGAAGACAGTACATGCCTTTACCTTATCTTACCAAGCGTAAAATCAGACGAAAACTTCCCCACACCAAAATCTGCCCACTTTCCAAAATCAACACAAAGTGAGTGAGTGGTTGTGGCCCGTCTGGCCCTGTGCATACTCAGGTGAACTCGAAACTGCTGCGCCCTGCGCAGTGGTGACCAATGTTTATTCCACCTCAATTAACCGTCTTCTAGGGCTGTGATGTCCAACGCGTTTCTGGAGCCCATCCAGCCTTTCCCATGGGTACCGGGAGTCTGTTTCCCCTAGGATAAATCGGCAGGGGCGTGAAGCTGTCCACTCACCTCCTTCTAGTGCCAAGACCAAGAATGGTGGAGCTATACAACCACTCCCTTATATGCCTTCAAGACATAGTGCTTAGTTAAGCACAGGGACAACTTTACATCTTTTTATGAGTACTTTTATATTTTTCCACTCACATCTAAATTTGGATTAAAATTATCCAATATTAAGGTAAAGCTATCCCTGTAACAGCCGTGAAGGCCCGTAAGGTTGTGAGACGTCGAGGCTCCCACATTTTCTAGACAATCGTTCATAGATGGCGGTGAAGTTGTCAGCCTTATGCGCCGGCCAGAAGGTGGCGGGTTCAATTCCTGATGAGGTGATTAGAATTTTCAATTGAACTAATCCTTCCAGCCGTACTATGACCCTGGGGTCGACTCAGCCTCTAACAGAAATGAGTATTAGGAATCTTCCTGGGGGTAAAGGGACGGCTCGCGCGTAAGGCTGACAACTTCACCGCCATCTATGAGACGATTGTCTAGAAAATGTGGGAACCTCGACGTCTCACAGCCCTATGGGCCTCCAAGGCCTGTTACAGGGACAGCTTCTTTATTATTATTATTTAATATTTTTAACTCTGTTACATCTGAACAGTTTATTATTTTCTTGTATGCTAAATCCTTGTTTACTGTAAACTAGATACAGAATGTGCGTGTAGCAGTCGGAAGGTCAGGGGTTCGTACTCGCCCACTGTTCTCTCTCTATTAACTTCTTTACTTTTGGGCGGTGCAAGGAACTCTTAGAAAGCAAGCGAATTGGAGCAATCTTAAAATCCATACACTAAAAATAATATTCTGAGTGCACTGTTTGATCCTCCTGACAGCTCCTGACAGCGAGGTACGTGCATTGCGGGCAAATCGGTCCAGTTTTGTTGACAGTTGATTACCTTGCGCATTCAAGCTGAAAGCAATGTCGTTAAAACACACAAGAACGGACACAGGGCGTGGCCAGGTATTGATCCACTGCGTTGCGTACTGCGTGACGCACGCACACACGCGCGAAGGCAGAAACAGAACGCAAGAAAACGCATAACTTACACACACACACACACACACTCTATTTATTTTAGCGGTTCGTTTAAAGACTCTACCAGTAATTAGGGCCGCAGT